GGGGGGGGGGGGGGAGGGGGGACCTCCGCCGTCAAAGGCAGCGAGCGCTCATCCTCAACCATTTCAATGTCCGGAATTGAGGGGGTCGATGCACGAGATCCGCTAAGATCTGTCGGGGAACGCGATCTAGAGCGAGGTCCGGACAAGTTGTTGTCAATAGAGGCGGTAGCTTTTTACAGCACGCCCATGTTCGTCCGTCCACCCCCCCCCCCCCCCCCCTCGTCTTGCCTTTCTTACCTTTACGATTTGTGACGACGTTAAAAGATGAGAAAGCTAGCCTTCGGCGGAGGCATATTCGTCGGAGGAATCGCGGCCTCAGCACTATCCTTTCCAGAGCGCATAAAAAATGAGTTGAAGTCCTCCAGGGACGCGGATAAAATCTTTTTAGACAAACCCACGCCGCCGCCGGGATCCGGCGAGACCGACCCATCTTCCTGCATAGCAGGAAAAATGACCAAAAAGCTAAAGAGCAGGAGAAAAAAAAGGCTTACTTATGCGCAAGGAAGAAAATAAACAATAAAGAGCAGGCTCAAAGAACCTAGGATGCAGGCGAAAGCCTATAAGGCACGGGAAATAATCAAGGAAGCGCAGGAACGATCCACACTGTTCGAGAGTTCGCGAGCCAATCGTATTTAGGGGATTGCTGGAGGAACTTGATCACACTGTGCAGGTCAATGCAAGTAATCTGAGTCTCAAATCGAACTTGTGATCGAAATCAACCCGACCCGGAGTCGGGTCGAATCGGTTGATCGAAAACGCTATAATACAATGTTGCTAATTTGTAATCATAATCATAATATAATAGTATAAGGCAAATTACTTGACACCGTCATATTGAAAATTCTTCCTCAGTATGAAAAGGTATTAAAGAAGTGTTGAGATTAGAGAGAGAGAGAGAGAGAGAGAGAGAGAGAGAGAGAGAGAGAGAGAGAGAGAGAGAGAATCAAATAGTTTATAAAAAGAGTACACATGTACATTTAAATATTTTTTATTGTATTATTTAAATTACTTTTTGAGTTACAGTTTACAAATATTAGAATATACTTATAC